AGCCCTAAATAGTTATTAGAAGTCTAGAAAGGAAAGTAGCTAGTAGTTAAGCTAGGCTTACTAGGATCCCTAATATTAACAGGTTCCCTATAGTCCCTAAGGTTAAGCCTATAACCTAAAGGGTTATAGCTATAGCCTATAATACCTAGAAGTTTTATACTAGACTATTAGTATACATTATAATAGAGGAGTCTTTTAGCTATTAAAAGTTAGACTTAGTTTAGCCTAAAGAGTTTAACGCGTGGACTTAGGCACTTTATAAAGGTATCCCTCTTCTATAAAAAGGAGGTGTAACTATAGGTAGCTAGATTAACAAGATACGTGTAAGTACTATTATATAATAGAGGAATATTATAGATAACTTTATAGAAGCACTAGGGGAGCACTTTAATAAAACTTTAGAATTAATACTAGTAGTAGGGAGCTTTATAGAGTCTAGCCTAGCACTTATATAGTTATATAGTAGTATAGCTAATTTTAGGTTATAGTACCTATTTATAAAGGAAGCGTATAATATATATAAGAAGTAACTTAATAAAATATACTTAGTAATATAGTATATCTACACTAATTACGCTAAATTTAGTTAGAAATACCTAAGCTAATTTACCCTATAAGTTAGTTAGACACACTAAGGATATATAGACGTAAGGTACCTCCTATATTGCGTAGGTCTAGACTAGCTTGCTAGCTTCCTAAACTTAGAGGTATACTATAGAATATAGGGGCAAAACTAGTTAAAAGATAATTTTATTAATATTACTAACTAGCATAGGGTCTAGGTTATAATTGCTAAGCTAATAGGAAAGGTAGATACTATCTTAAAGGCTAAGGAGGAACTAGAAGACTATTTCTTATAATATATTAGGGCAATTATTTATTACTATATAATAGGCCTATATACCCTACCTAAACTAACACTTAAAGGTATAAGCAACCTACGCAACTTTAATATACGCTATAGAGAGGAGGATAGTGCTTACGCTAGGATTTAGCGCCTAGTACTACAATAGTATAGGAAGTTAGAGAACTAGGTAGGGGTGCTACTTAGTATAATCCCTCTAAGCAAATAGATATAAAAAGAGGGTATAAGGTTATTAATAAACTATAGGATACTAGTACTAAAAGAAATTAAAGATATTCTAGCTAGCTCTCTACTAGGAAGCAGAGAAGTAGCTAAAAAGAAAGTAGAGGAGGAGAGGGTAACACAAGAGATTAAGAATCTAGGTTATAACTAGCTACCTAGGACTATATCCTACGCTAGACGCGCCTAGACTATACTACTAGATAGGAGTGTAGTCTAGAATAGAGGACTATTAAGGTTAGAAAGTATAGTAAGGGAGTTATAGAGTTATAAGAAGAGGATAGAGGATATACTAGATACTACCCTAGGAGAAATTAAATTAGCCACCTATATCTTAGAGGAAGAATCTCTAGTAGAATTACCTATATAAAGGATAATAAGAGCTTAAGGAAGATACACTACCTAGCTCTTAAAAAGGATAGAAGAGAATATTTACTAGAAGTTTAGAATTATTAGCTAATATATAGTAGTAGGCCTATAACTATAGGATACTAATATAGAGGTAATAAATAAATTACGTAACTCTTTACCTAGACTACTTAAGGAACTTAACAAGACTCTAGATACTAAGATAATAATACTAGAAGAAGAGAGTATTACTAAAGATAAGTATACTATAGTTAAGAATAAAGCGCCCTATTAGTGTAAAAACTAACGCTCTACACTATAATTAATTACTACTAGGATTAGGAGTAGCGCACTTAATAACACTAAGTAAAGGAAGCTAGTTAAAGTATAGTACTATAAAGTTACTAATTATAGCACTATCTAGGACGCTAAGGGAAGGATAGTATAGGATTTAAATTAGGTATACTTTAGCTACTTAAAGTTTATTACTAGCAAGATAGGGCTCTACACTTAGACTCTAAACATAGAGGCAAGTAATAGATAGCTAAACGTGCTATACTATAAGCCTAGAGAATAGGGAAATTTATAAGCTAACCTAGTTACTATAGTAGCTTTTACTAAGCTATTTAACTAAGATTACACCTCTAAGGATTTACAAGCTTATTACTACTAGCTAAAGAAGATAGCACTAATAATTAACTAGGCCTAACTATAATAGGTAATAAAATTTAAGTAGAGTTACTAAAGCTTCTTATAAAAAGGAAGTATAACCCTAGACACCTTTACCTAGATCTATAAAGACCTAGAACTAGTAAGGATAGTAAATAAGTACTTTAAGATATATAAATAGCACTTAAGGGAGATAAAGTAGGTAGCTAATTTAGGGTAGTGTAGGACTATATACTACTCTATTATTTAATAGCTAGTATAAGGGGATATAGGATACTAGCTCTAATATACTATAATCTAGGAAACTATAAACCTAATCTTATACCTATACTACACTAAGTACGCCTAGGTAAGAGACTAGATATTCTTCTTTATTACGTGGACGTAAACCTTTCTAAGGCAGCGTAGTTAGGATAAGGGCTTAAAATAATCTAAGGCTTAGTTTCTTTTAATAATAAGGACTAAGATAACTATACTAAGCTTCTAATTAGATTTAAAGAAGTATAGAAGAATTAGGTAAATTAGATAGATAGAGGGTTAAGGAGGAATAAGAGGGCCTATATCTAAGTATAGGAAGATAGGGTGCACTAGCCTAAAGAGCTAAGGGAGAAGTGCCCTATAGTAAGATAGGAGAAGGAAATCTATTAAAAAGGGTAGGTAAGGATTATAAGCCTAGTAATACTATATAGATCTACTAGACCTACTACTTAAATATAGTATATAGTTCTACTATAGTATATAAAAGTATAGGATAATATAATAATAATAGAGGTACTAGAGATAGGGATATATATAAAGATTGCACTAGCCTACTTATAGATAAGTATAGCCCTAAAGACTCTATTAGGGCACCTAGTTAAATATAGTAGAGTCTAATAGTAATTTCCTAGAGATATCTAGGCTACCTATCTAACCTAGGTCTTAAAGGTAATTATATATTAGGTTTAATAGGATAACCCTTTAGTAAAGGCAGAGATCTAGAAGTACCTAATAGGAGATTTAAATAGAGAAAGGATAGGAGTATAGATTAAGAAGAGTTAGGTTAAGATAGTAAAAGAGTTAAAGAAGAATTAGGCTATCTGTATTAAGAATAAGAAGCTTATATTTAGTAAGGATAAGGAAGCTAGGGTACTAGACTAATCCTATTTTAGTATAAAGGGGGTACAGCCTACTAAGGTAGGAGAGTAGTAGAGGTATAATAGATAGATTAAGCAATTAGAGACTCTAGATATAGTTAAAAAGCATCTAGGAGCTATTAAAGAGGAATAAAAGGTAGAGGAATCTAGGCGCCTAGGGCTAGGCTATACAGGAAGCCTAGTAAGGGTATAGAGGAGAACTATCTTATTAAGTTTAGGTTTAAGATTAGAGACCCTAGATACCCCTACTCCCTTGCCTAAAGCTTAACGAGCTAGGAACTAGGGTTACTAACCTAGAGGAGGAGAGTAAGGGCTAAGCTTAATAGGGCTAAGCTTAAAGGAGGGGGAGGTTTGTGCTATAGTAGGGGATATATAGGAGAAAAACAAGGCTTAGCCTAAAAAGTTAGGTGGATTAAATAGTATAAAGGTATAAAGGATTAGAGGATAGGAAAAGGAGGACTCTAGTAGACTTTACTTTAACTCTATAATATTATCTTTTTACTTATATTTCTGTATTAAACCTATATCCTCTGCTATAGGATTACTACTATTAAACCTTGCCCCTCCTACTTCTCCTCGTTTAAATAGGTTACTCTCCCTAACGGTTTACTAGCTTAGTAATTAAGTTAAGCAGTACGCTTAAATAGATAGGATAATCTTTAATAAGTTAGTAAAGCGCAAACTAGGCTTATAACTATAGAAATTAAGTTTACTAAGCTTAGGAATAATTTAGGAGATAGATTATTAGATTATATCTACTATAATTAGACTTATATATATAGAGCTTTAGCTACCCTTACTAGAGCTCCTGCTTTTATTAGGCACTTAGCAGTAAGCTAGCAGTTAATTAGATAGTAGGTTATACAGGGGTATTAATTAGGATTAATTAGGATTAATTAGATCAAGATGCTCCGTGATCTAGTTGTTATCCCTCCTGCAACAGGTTAGATTACTACTAGAACTAAATTAATAGCTTAAAATAACAATAAATGCGATATTCTTAAATACTATTACTAGCTAGATTAATATTCTTCTTATAATATAATAATATAGGTAGGTAGGGTATCTAAAAGGTATCCTATATAACTTAAAGGTATATAGGAGTGCGCGTCTATATAGACAAGGATAAGATTCCTACACCTGTAGGTCTTGTATAAAAGGACAAGAAGAATATACCTATTCTAATATAGGCAAGCTGCTCTCTATATATATTAACAAGGTAGGCCTTTATTAGGGCTAACTTAGTATAGAATACTAGGGAAATAATTCTGCACTATTATTACACTATATACATATATAAGTTAGGCTGTATTTAGAAAGTTATTAGGGTTAACTTAGCATATAATAATAAGTGAACAAGTCTAACCTATTATTATAATAGTTAAGTAAGTACTAAATCTTCTTTTAGCTATATCTTTAACTATAATAGGTGTAAAAGGGTGCTCTTTAGTCCTTTAGAAAGCTCTTAATCTTAGCCTTAAAACGCTATAAAAGTTGCTATAATAGGCCTAGTATAGCAAAGGTTATGGCTAGAGGAAGGGCCTAGGAATCTAAGCTTAGCAGGGTGGACCACTTACCTGTGTGGACCACTTACCTACCCGTAAGGTACGTTATAGTAGATATTATAGAGAATAGGTAATTATAAGCTTAGGAATAAATTAGGAGATAGATTCTTAGATTACTACTATTAAGATAGAGCTTAAATATATAGATCTTAAGCTTAGTAATTTACTTAGTCTTAATATACATACCTATGCTTAATATTAACCTAAGCTCCGATTAAGGGATGATTTGGCATCAAGATCTACCCCTTTAGCCAGCTTGGCGATCAGGAGACTGTAGATCCTTATGTAGATTAGGTAAGCAGAAGGAGACAGAGATCGAGCTCGTGTTCTCCTTTCTGCAACAGACATGTTTCCGTCGAGGGCTAAGGTTGCCAAGCCCGTCCAAGCCCGTCCAAGGTAGAAATAGTACTGATTTTGTAAGAACTTCCATATATGTATGTCCTAGTCGCTAGACGAGTTTGCAACTATATCATTTTTATCTTATCTTATCTATCTTAGGAATTAAAGTCCGTCCCTACAACACCCCTGTTTACTATGATTTTCCTTCCTATATCTCTTTACAGATTATTCTAAATGTAGTCACATGCGCATATCCTCTCCTACTTCTACCTGATAATACTGTTACTCTTATCTGTCTGTCCCGTTTACCCCGCATCAGCATGGATCAATTCCGCGTTGTTGATAGGTACCCCGCGTTAGCATAGATCATGTTAGTGTTACCTGTCTGAATACTTATTAAGACTTAAATGCCGTGCTATTAGATGCGCTCTCACACCTCTTATTCACAACTCTATTTCTCCTACATTCTTGTAAGCGAAGTATAAAAAATGTCAAAGTCGTCAATTGTCAAGGTTGCAGTCACGCAACATGAACCGGTGTGGTTCGATCTTGTGGCTACTGTGGACAAGACCTGCAAGTTAATCGCTGAGGCAGCGAGTGAAGGTGCACAATTGGTTGCCTTTCCTGAGGTGTGGATTCCGGGGTATCCGGCTTGGATATGGTGTGTTTCCAATTCTTTACTTTTTCTATCCCCTTTATTTTATGCTCATGATCACATATGCTTGACAGCAGTAGCGCAAAAGAATCTCACTATTTTTGAAATCAACTAATGTGAGGGAAAACATGAAGGGAGCGGTGCGCCGACGAGTCGCTCGCGACCAAATACATCAAAAACTCCCTATCATACAACTCGCCCGAAATGGCCAGAATCTGCGCCGCAGCCCGTACAGCCGGTATCGCAGTAGTTCTCGGCTTTAGTGAAAACGATCACAACAGCTTGTACCTGGCTCAATGCATTATCAGCGCCTCAGGCGAAATTCTGATGAAGCGACGCAAGATTAAACCAACTCATATGGAACGCACTGTGTACGGGGACAGCGACGGCGCCAGTCTGAACAACGTGGTGGATGTCGAGGGCGTTGGTCGGGTTGGTGGATTAAACTGTTGGGAGCATATGCAGCCGCTTCTCAAGTACCACACGAATAGCCTCCACGAGCAGATTCATGTTGCGGCGTGGCCACCTATGCATTCAGAGGAGAAGGGGGTTGATAGGACGGTGACTTGGAATATGAGGTCTGAAGGTATGTGTGATCAATGATTCACTATAAGTACTACAAGTTACTCCTCATCATGATTTTTTGGGGTGGAGTGTTTTTTTTCGGCAAATCCTCATCCCTCCCTACCTTCCCTCCCTACTTTATGTAAGAGATCTAACGGATACTCTCCTACAAGGTTGCAATGCTCTTTCTCGCGTTCACGCTATTGAAGCCTCGACCTTCGTTTTATGTTGCTACTCTACTATTTCGGCTGCTGGCATCGCTGCCCACCGTATCGATGGCAATCCGCTCTTTGGCCACATTGGCGGTGGTGATTCAGCTGTGTATGGGCCCGATGGCCGGAGGATGACACAGCCTCTTGGTATGGATGTGGAGGGTTTTGTGTTTGCCGATCTGGATATGGATGAATTGGTCAGTATCAGACGTTATGCGGATGCCGTAGGGCATTACTCCAGGCCTGACTTGCTCTGGTTGGGCGCGGATACAAGGACAAAGAAGCATGTAAGGAGAGAGGGTCAGGATGGTAATGCGGGTGGGGAGGCCAAGGAGAACATGGCGAGCGATCAAGAGAAAGGGGAAGTGGGGGGTGTAGGAGGTGGGATTCGTGTGGCAAATGGGAAGGTCTGAAGTAAATTTCGAGAAGGCGAAGGGTACAAAGGGTGTGTCTTGTCCTTTTTCTTGATGTGCTTAATATCAAGTCTAGTCAGCAACTTTAAATAGCATGCAAAGTCTTCGTAATAATGCTCCAAACTGGCAAAGTTATTCATCTATCGCCTACAGTCTCGATAAACTAGGTGAAAAAGGTTATCTATACTCCAGCTGGGAAGACGCCTGATTGGTACCTAAGAGGGTTGAAATGTTGAAATCCATGTAGATACATCAGACACCTATTAGAAGTGCAGCTTTTTCGCTAACAAACAACGCTCTTGAATAATGATCTGTCTTATAAATTCGAAAGACTTTCGGAAAGTTAGAACAGTTTCCTTTTACAAATCGCTACCGCTTGTCTTTAAAAAGTCTAGTAGCGACATGGCTTAAGCGAGGTGTGAGCACATACTGTGGCCAGATTTGCTGCTGAGTTGCTTTTCTGCAAGCCGCGAAGCTCATCAAAAAGACTTTTCTGTGACTCACTGAACTTCTTCTCATTACGGTATCTGCAGAACTTTGGATTTCGATCCATTGACTTGTTCACTGACCATTGAAGCTGATCGTTTTCCCCATCGAAAGTGCCCAAATGCATGACGACACAGAATCTAGGGTGGCCCTACTACGTATGTGCCACGTTAGTCAAAAAGAGGCGATACAGGTGTTTTATGGTGGTTCTTGATTTAATGCAGGAGAAGTAGTGGCCCGTGCGAGCATCGTGAGTCTTTACCCTTCGTCGATTTTACGCTTTCTATGGCAACTTATGAAGTCAGCCCCGGGATGCATGCTTTGCATTCAGTCGTAGCGCTCGCTAAAAGTCCGCAGGACGGGTGTGAAGCCAAGATCCATTCGTTCTCGCCTCTTCCAAACGCACCCTCCCGCTAATCATAGAATCATTCGGCCCATTGGACGCAAAGCACTACAGTAAAAAATTGTTTACTGTAGAATAGTACGCTAGGGGTTTACTATATAGGTTTAAAGTAGTAGTTTACTTTTATTAAAGTAGTAGTTTACTTTTATAGTAGGGGTTTAAATTAAGTATAAAAAGTAGTTTTATTTCTATTATACGCTATAATACCTAGCTAAGACTAAAAGGGGTAGAGAAGATTAGCTTCACGCTGTACGCATATATGACATAATAATAAGTCATGATATTTTTACTAATAGGAGGTGGTGATAATAGAGGTGGTGATAGAGGTGGTGGTAGAGGTGGTGGGTAAAGTTGGT